GAAAATCAGTATGAGGGAAGAGAGAGACCCTCTCATATTGTTTTATACTCAGAAAAGGAAAGAGAAGCGAAACTAAAGGCAGGTAGCCCAGCGCCTAGGAACCAGACCTGAAACCAGGCCTGGGCCTGCATGACCTAAGCCTGGTAGTTAAAATTCGACCCCTGACCTAGCAACTGTTGTTATCTATAGATTCCAGACATTGTATGGAAGGACATTGTGAAACCTCCCATTTGTTCTGTTTCACTCTGACCACCGGTATGCTCGCAGCCCGTCACGTACCCCCTGGCTTGCTCAATCGATCACCACCCTCTCACGCGGACCCCCGTAGAGTTGTGAGTCCTTAAAAAGGACAGAAGTTGAGCACCTGACGAGCTCGGATTTTAAGACGCTAGCCTGCCCATGTCCCAGCTGATTAAAGCCACTCCCTTCACTAGCTCGGTGTCTGAGGGGTTTTGTCTGCAGCTCGTCCTGCTACAAATATAAATGTTATTCTGTTTCTGGAATGCATTCTGTTTCACTAATCTGCATGTCTATCTTCACACCAAAAACCACACTATCTTAATCACTGTAGCTTTATAGTAGTCTTTTTTTTTGAGACAGAGTCTCATTTTGTCACCCAGGTTGGAGTGTAATGGTACGATCTTGACTCACTGCAACCTCTGCCCCTGGGTTCAAGTGATTCTCCTGCCACACCCTCCTGAGTAGCTGGGAGGCATGCACCAATACACCCAGCTTTTTGTATTTTTAGTAGAGACAGGGTTTTACCATGTCGGCCAGGCTGGTCTCAAACTCCTGACCTCAGGTGATCCACCCACATCAGCCTCCCAAAGTGCTGGGATTACAGGCATAAGCCACCATGCCCGGCCTATCGTAAGTCGTAAAATCAAGTAGTATAAGTTCTCCAACTCTGTTTATACTTTGCAAGGTTGTCTTGGATATTATAGGTCTTTTGAATTTTCACGTATTTTAGAATCAGCATCAATTTTTTTAAAATGCCTACTGAGACTTTGATTGGAATGGCATTCACTCCATAAATCAATTTGGGGGAAATTGACATCATAGGAATATGGAGTGCTCTGATCCATGGATATAGTATATCTCTCCATTTATTGGATCTTCACTTTCAGCAATGTTTTATACTTTTCAGTGTACAGGTCTTGCACATCCCTGATTATATTTTATTATTAAACATTTGTTGTTTTTTTTTTTTTGAGACAGAGTTTCATTCTTTCACCCAGGCTGGAGTGCAGTGGCGCAATCTCGGCTCACTGCAACCTCTGTCTTCAGGTTTCAAGCGATTCTCCTGCCTCAGCCTCCTGAGTAGCTGGGATTACAGGCGCATGCCACCACACTCGGCTAGTTTTTTTTTTTTTTTT